AAAAAAAAAAAAAGTATTAAAGTGTCATATATATCGTTGGTATAGGAAGTATAGATCCTCCCCCTTCAGAGAACATGCATACCACCAATGCACCCATAATTCAGTAGGCCCTGGAGGTAAGGGGGCACCATAGCAACCTGTGGAAAAGAGCTGGTTTTTGATGCTGTACAAAAGCTCAGTATGCTTCTCAGATAGCAGGAATACTATGTCCATGGCTTTATGAACCTCATTTTTCTTTAATACACTATACAGAAGTTGTGGTGGATGACTTTGCTTTTGCATATACATCATATATTTAAACCAGCAAATATCTTTAGCTACCACTCTTTGGGGGTGGGGAAACAGACCATTGTACCCACCTCTTCAGACACTTTCTGATCCTAGGCTCCTTATCTCTGTCCTATTTGCTTTCTTCACTAGGTTCATGGTTTACCTTTTGATATTCAAGAAGACATTTGTTTCCTACAGAATGGGCCAAAGAGGACCAAGGATTTGGCATGCTCAGCTGAACTCCAACAAGCTCTGGCCATGGTGGAGGATTTGATCAAGTCCTGTGAGTTGGCAGTGGACCTGGCAGCGGTCAGTGGGTGTCCGGTATGTCTCACAGCACGTCTGGGAACATTCACAGAAAAGGCAAGGTTGGAGAAGTGATCTAGGCTAAAGGAATTTGACTCTGGGGAAAGCAGCCTCAGTCAGTGAACAAACCAGTGCTATGAGATTCCAAGGAATCCCTAAGTGTTTTCAAGAATCTTGGGTTGGCTTCCTCAGGATCCTGAAATTGAGACTGGCTCACACTTGAAAAACCGGGAATTCAGGGATCAAATATGTATGTCAAGGGAGAGTGCTAACGGTGTGATTTTTTGTTTGTTTGTTTGTTTGTTTTGGCTGCTGACGATATTAGGGGTTAAAAGTTTTTCCTTCTTGACTCAGATTTTCTCCTTGACAATTACCTTGAATGTGGGTCCTATGTGAAAGTCTAACCCCAATTTATCAGTCCCAGGAGAGGCTCCACATCATATATTGTACAATTGAAACAGTTGAAGAAAAATAACAAAAGATGCAGTTCTCAGGATCCAAGCCATCTCCAGCTTTAAGCTTAATCCTGAGCAGGTCAGTTCTAGAAATCC